TTTGAAATGTAAAATTTTGAAAATGAAAAATTATTTCCAGAAATGCTTTTAATTTTAAGAATGTGGCTGCATTGTTTGGCTCATAAATGAAATTAGTAACCAATCATCCTATTTTCATTTTCTTTTTCAACACTGCTCATCCTTTTACTTAATTAAAAAGAAAAAGACATTTGAGATTTATTTTTCAAAATGTACCCCAACAAATACGTACAATGCAGGCACATTCTTAAAATTAAAAGCGTCTCTGAAAATGCTTTTTCATTTTAAATATGGTAACGATTTGCTTCCATACTTTGGAGCAGCTGAAACTCCTTTTATTGGTTTTGCAGCATATAGCTAATCATATATGGGGGGAGGGGAGTGGTGAACTAGTGGTTAGAGCAGTGCACTTGTACTCTGAGAAGGTTGCAGATACCCGGTTCGATCCCCACAGCCTCCAAACCCTTAACCCCCGATTGCTGCCAGAGCACCACACAATGGCAGCTAACTGCTCACCAAGGGGATGAGTTAAGATTTAGAGGTGAATTTCTCCAATGTGAGATCAATAAAGTTCAATTATTTTTATTATTATTCTACCTGGAATATGTTCCTGTAAACTTTGGATTTTTTTATTGTCTAAAGCCAAATGATTTGTTCTTGGAGGCTGAAGCCTCCAGGAGGAAATTTCTAAGGGCTTGAAAAGCAATTCAAAGACCCAGGCTGTATTTCTTGTTCTGTGAACCTTCAGGAAATGAAGGTCAGACACTGTGTACCACCACAGACATTCTGTGCGAAACCAAAACAGGCGTTTCAGACTTTTTTTTAAATGCTTAGCAGCGAAATAAACACCAAGAATCATGTAGTATTCACATCTCTTCCCGTTTCCGAGGCAGGGTCCATCGCAGGGCAACACAGAGACAAACAACCATTCATGCACACACTCACACCTAAGGAGAATTTAAACAAGTCAATTAACCTAACAGTCATGTTTTTGAACTGTGGGAGGAAGCCGGAGTACCCGGAGAGAATCCACGCATGCTCAGGGAGAACATGCAAACTCCATGGAGAAAGACCCCGGGCCGGGAATGGAACCCAGAACCTTCTTGCTGCAAGGCAGCAGTGCAGCCATCGTTTTTTATCGATATCAAATGATGTTTTGCACTTTTTTTTACCCTTGATCTTTGATCTTTTCACACTTCCGTTGATCATCGCTGAATTTCTTCTTCACTCATTGCTGGGATGGCAGTAAAACAATATCTCTACATATTGTAATAGACGCCAGATCAATATCAATGGTATATACGCCACAGTAAGAATTTTCAATAGTTTACTTGAACTCTGATCCAGAACTGCACGGCATTGTGGGAGATGTGGGCAGAGGAAAGGATTTAGCCTCTAAACATCTCAAAGCAGAGCTAAGCAAGCTGTCTGCTAGATTTGACCTGTTTTTAAAGTTTAAAGGTTATGTTGGTTTACAATTTAAATTCTGTCTTAAGTTTTTCCTTTTGGTCCCTATTTTAAATGTGTAAAAAATGCAACAACTAAGCATTCATTCTCAATATCAACTGGTGCAAAAAGACTCGTTATTTTTCGGCCATATTGCACATCCCTAAAATTAATAAATAATCAATCCACTGGACTTTGTTTCCAAGTTTGAAGACGTTTCGCTTTCCATCCAGGAAGCTTTTTCAATTCAAAATATCAGAAAAAGCGTTAAGTTCCAAGTTAAGTGGACCATAAACAAAGCCTTGTTTTGGCTTAGAAAACATGCTAATTAAACCGGAAGAAGGGGTCTGCCCCTTAGGAATGGGGAGTCTTTTGGGTTCATTGTTTGCCCTAAATACCTGATACTGGTCTAAGCCTCTGAAAGGGGGACATTAGGGGGAATTGTTAGCCTGGCTGATCAGGTGGGGTGTTTTGGTTCGCTGTATGGGGGAAGGTGTTCCTCCATACAGACTAGATTTTTGAATATCCTCAGGTCTCTGGAAGCAAGTTAAAAGGTCTAAAGGAAAAAAATCTATCAGAGAGCTAAGAACGTTCTAAAATATACACATTATCTCCAGTCAGGTGGTATGCAGCATGAATATAAAATAATAAGCGATCGTTTAGTTGAATGACTTTTGTGTGCAAACAGAAGTGAGTTACTGGAAACCAGTAGGGCCATAATGTGTGCCTGGGTCCCTTTGATGAACTTTCCGTGTTTTGCAGAGCATGCTGTTCGTGGAAGTACCGTCTTACCCAGACACATCCGTGTGCCATCCCGTCAAAGTGAACTTCTATGTTATTAACGGCAAACGGAAGCGCAGCCAGCCTCAGCATTTCACCTTCACCCCTCTGACATGTAAGTGTTTGGCCATGGCTTCTTCATTTCACGTTTTCTAAATAAGTCACGGTCTGATTTTAAGTTTTTACTCATCGTTTAGCTCCAGCCATAAAGACGGAACCTCTCGACGAATACGAAGTGCAGAATATGGGCTTCGGTATTCCTCAGATCTTAGGCCTATCTCCTCACTCCTACTACCACAGCCCTCGCGGTGTCCTTCACTCAGACAACGGCCTAATGTCCAGCATGGCTTCATGTCAGCGCTTCAGCTCCAGCGTGCCAAACCAAGACGGCCATTTTCAGCAGCAGAGCCCGGCTATCGTCTACTCTCGAGGCGGAAAGAGCCTCGGTAGCAGCCCGGGCACGTGGCACACCGGCGGGATCGTTCCTGACCCCCACCGGTCCGTCTTGGTCCACACAGGCTCACCGGCTCAGTCCGTAGGTCCCATCAGCACCGGTCAGCACCCTTCCATTATCCAGTTCTCTCCCACCAATCACCACCTTCTCAGAGACGTGGAGACTCTCCCGCCTCCTCAGCCTGAGGGCCAGCAGATCCTCTTCTGCGACGGCTACCCCCCACAGGCCGCCTCCCACTCCCCCGTACTCCCCCAGGCCCAGGCAGCCGTGACCCAACAGCAGCCGTGTCCCACCGTCATCCAGCAGCAGCCGTTTGGGCAGAAGGATTCCCAGAAAGTTCGTGCCTCGCCGGTGACGCAGCCGATGGAGGCTCCGGGTGACACGCAAAGGAGGGTGACCATCAAGGAGGAGAACTTGGACCAGGCCTACCTAGATGACGGTGAGTGTAAGTTATTCTTTTTCTGCACACTTTGAGCGATGTGACGCCGTCTGACAGCAATAAGATAACAACCAGGAGCAGATATACAGGTTCTCTTCAGAACAATTCTAGGATATTTACAGTATGGGCTCCGTTTCTCGCTCCACTCGGTTCGCATATCCTCTCACCAACGCTTTGAAAAAACTCTTCAAACAATCCAAGCGTGGAGGTGAAGTTATGTCCATCTGAAGCGGAACTAATGGATGGTTTGAGTCACAATGTTTATACTTATGGTTGTCAACCCCGTTACCCTCTGAGTGAATTAATGTGAATCTGAATCCCGCAGCAGGCGGGGGGGTTGGGTCTTTTCCTTGTTTTGGTGTTAAAGGTGCTTTATCTTTGAAAACAAAGAGGCAAGCTCTGAAAAGTCAGACAGCAGAGATTTAAAGGAGCAGTACGTAAAAGAATAGAAATCTAAATTTTCACATATTGACAAATTAAAGCCATAAACTAACCTTAAAGTGGCAGAATATATATATTTTATAAAATTGTATTGTATATTGAAGGCCTTTTTTAATGATTCCCCTAAATAACCTTCAGTGTAAGTTAGTTTGAGATAAGCTGGAACGGTTCGACTTGCCACAATAATGGAAATATTTGATACTTGAACCCATTTTTGATACCAAAGCGATAAAAAAAAGGCATTAAAAGATTGTATTTGTATAAAAAAAAACATGTATTTTACAATCTCAACAGAAACATAGATTATATTTAAACAAGAGTGAAAAATAAATAAGCCAAATAGGAAATTAGAAAACATTCTAAGGTTGTCTGAGATATTCTTCTTTTACTTTGCAAATAATCCAGAAATCTAGTAAGAAATTCTCAGTAAAATGAACTTAAGTTATTGTCATTTGTCACCCGGGATAAAAATAATATTCCCTACTAACATTGGGTCCCTGTGGGGTAAATTTCTCCACTGTGAGAACAATAAAATCTATCTTATCTATCAACAACTACGTTGGTGTAATGCGTAACATGCAGTGATGGGCAGTAGCGCCGCTACATGTAGCGAAGCTATTAGTTTAACTACATGTTCCAGTAGCTTGACCGTAGCGTCACTGTGATATGTCATTGGTTGATCTTTAATAAATATTTTAACCGGTGTATCAGACTCATTTTGAATTGACATTAGCTTGGTACAACCTTAAGTAGCTTCTGCTGTAGTTAAGCTACTCTTAACACATTAGTGTAACTTAGCTTGCTATAATTCTTTAGGTGGTAGCTTTTGTGTAGTGAAGCTTAATTTATTGCTGAGTAACTGATAGCTTAGCTCACTACACTGGACAAGTAGCTTGCCCAACACTGGTAACGTGTTTACTTCCTAGTTCCTGAACCAATTGTATTAAAGTTCCCACTGTGTCCGATACAGAGCAAACATTTGGTGTTTTACGTTGGCAAAAAGAGCAGCAACCTGCGAACATGGAGGCCAGCGGGAAAAAAGAAGCAGAAAGAACGTCTTTAAACCTTCAAAAATATTGGCCCAGTAACTCAGTGTGGATTTATCATCTGCTGTTTATCTTCATCTTCATCTCTCTTGACTGAAGGAACCTGAAGGAAACTTTCTCCAATTTGACTTTAACTTTCTCCAGTTAAAAAAATCAATCCACTGGACTTTGTTTCCAAGTTTGAAGACGTTTCACTTCCCATCCAGGAAGCTTTTTTAATCCAAAATGTCAGAATTTAGTTCAAGGCTTCGTACAGTAGCCCAACAAAACCTTGTTTTGGTTTAGAAAACATGCAAATTGAACCAGACAAACAGGTCCGCCCCTTAGGAATGGAGGTAGTTTGGCTTCTTTTGTTAGCCTGTAATACCGATACCTGTCTATTTCTCTGAAATGGGGGGTCATTAGAGGGAATTGTTGTCCTGGTCAAACAGGACAAAAGTATTGAAATTTTTGACAAATTATCAAGGATTATAAAACATTATCTACAGGTTTTCCCACAGAGCTCTACGGAAGAGGATTAGGGCCACTGAAAAAAAAAAAAAAA